TACCAAAATCTGAGGATGCTCAATGGCTTAATATTTGTGTATAATTTATGCACATACTCCTGAATACTTTAAATCATCTCTACTTATATTTAATATAATGTAAATATGTAGTTACAATGTAGTTAAAAAACCTGTCTTTATCTTGCATCAAACCATAAATAAAATTATGTCATTTTATTGTTGTGTTATTATTTTTTCCCCAAACATTATTGATCCATGTTTTGAGTCTCTGGATGTGGAACCTGTGGATAGAGAGGGTCAACTGTACTTAATTTCTCTGAACCTTAATTTTCTCATTTACAACATGTTTATAATAAAGACAGAACTAATGTTAAGGCCTACTATATACAAGATCTGACAATTAGGTCCATGAACAAACATGGATTGGCACTGGCAGCACTATACAAACAATTCAGTAATGTTTCATAACCTTGGCATCTTTAGTGTCTCACAGCTATGTTTGTGTCAATGTTTGAGGGCATCTTCTGAGTGGCATTTATTATTGTTGTGTTTTTATGTGCCATGGCAAGAACATTGGAGTTAAATTAGAACAATGAACAAACCTTCCATAAATTTGTTAAGGGACATGTTAGTCCAAGTTATGGGGATAATGCCATGAAGAAAACGGCAGCATACAAATTAAATGCTTTTTGAGGGGAGATAAAATGTCATTGATGAAGAGAGGTCAGGGCAACCAGTACAAGCAGAACTGATGAAAACATTGTAAAACTTCATTGAATTGTGCACCAAAATCTTTGGATGACTGTGAGAAGCATAATAAACCAAGTAAACATTGATAGACAAACAGGAAAATATTAACTAAAAATCTTGACATGGGAAAGGTGTGGCTCTGGTACATTACAACAATGTACCAGATCACATGGCACTGTCTATGAGGGAGTTTTTAGCCAGTAAACAATTATATTGGAATACCCTCCCTACTCACCTGATCTGGCCCCCAGTGACTTTTTTCTTAATTTGAAGATTAAAGGAAATATTGAAAGGAAGACATTTTGATGACATTCAAGAAAACAAAAGGTAATAAATGATGACAGCTCTGATGGCCATTTCAGAAAGAGTTCCAAAATTATTTTGAAGCGTAGACTAGGTGCTGGTGTTGGTGCATAGCTTCTCAAGGGGAATACTTCGAAGTGACCTGAATGACATTCAGCAATGATGTATGTAGCATTTTTTCTAGAATGAGTTCATGAATGTGTTAAATCTAGTATGTATAATGCAACAGCATATATAAATCAAACGTCTTAGAAAACATAACCTATCCTGTGTAATAGATGAAATAAATGTTGCTGAAATAAGTGTCACTGTTCTTCATATCTCAACCATACTATGCCCTACTACATGGATTCTAGAAGTTTACTAGTGACATAAATATGAAATTAACAGTATCTTTTATAGGCATAATCGACAAAGTAAACTTATTAGAAGGTACATGCATAACCCAACAATTTTAAGCCTGGTCTATTTTCCTCCAGTAGTCAGAGGATCCTTAAATGCCTTAACAACCTGTTATCCTTCCCTAGATACATCCTTTCTGATATGATCTGTCTTCCAACTCCTAATAAAAATCTCTTAATCTCACTAAAAACTTACTATGACAATCTCTCTTTTCCCTGTCCATGTTACTGACAAACATTATTCATATAAAATGTACAAAGGCAAGAAACATACAACATATGAAGTTGAAAGGGAACAACATGTACTATATTATTCTCCACACTTACTACATATACATAAGGAGTTTCATAAATTTTTAAAAATTGCCTGTTGTCTTTTATTTTTAATGGTTCATCAACTTAACAGTCTACCACCCTGGACGATCATGGACTGTCAATACCTACCCTCCCAGAGTTGAGGAGCAAATGACATAACATATGTAAAGATTACTAAAAGAGTTGGTCTTTGTTGTACATGTCACATTTATCATATACAGCAGGTCCTTGAATAATAGCCTGTCATTATAATGTTGCTGAGGAAAAAAATGAATTTCTAGCTAGGGCCACTGTCTGTGCGGAGCTTGCATGTTCTCCCCATGTCTTTGGATTTTCTCTGGTTGATCCAGTTTCTTCTCACCTCCCAAAGATACTCACATCAGGTGAACTGGCAGTCTAAATGGTCTCAGTGTGAGGGAGTGTGAGTGTGCGAGTACACCTTGTGATATAGAAGCACCCTGTCCAGGGCTTGTTCCCACCTTGCTTCCTGCGGTGGGGATAGGCTCTGGCCTCTTGAGACCCTAAAATGGAATAAGTGGGTTGAGAAATGAATACACATCATTGTAAAATAAAAATTTGTAAGCTATATGAAATAAGTAATGCAGTACAGAAGTGCTCTACCAACCTGCCATGTTTGTTTGAGACAGGGTCTTGCTTGTTTGACACAGGTTAGAGTGCAGAGGCATCATCATAGCTCACTGCAATCTCAGACTCCTGGGTTCAAGTAATCATCCTGCTTCACCCTCCCAAGTAGCTGGGACTACAGGTGCACACACCATGATGCCTAGCTTATTATTTGTTTTTGAACTGCATGGGGCGTGGTGGTAGGAGGTGTTCCTTACAATTTTTGCTTTGCAAACATTAAGAGACCAGGTCTCGCACTATTGCCCAGGCTGGAGTGCATTAATACAATCATAGCTCATGAGAACTTTGAATTCTTGGGCTCAATCTCCTGCCTCAGCCTCCCTGTAGCTAAGATTTACAGGCATGTGCCACCACACTTACTTTTAATTTTTTGTAAAGATAGGATCTTGCTATGCTGTCTAAGGTGGTCTTGAGCTTCTGACTTCAATCCTCCCATCCCAGCCTCCAAAGTGTTAGGTCTTTATTTAGAAGTTTGGTGATGTTTTTTTGACCAGAAATATGCTATGGGAACTTTTTTTTTTTTTTTTTTTTGAGACAGAGTCTCACTATGCCTTTGGTATAGTGCCGCAACCTCAACTCTTGGGTTTAAACGATTCTCTTGCCCCAGTCTCCCAAGGAGCTAGGACTACAGGCACCTGCCACAACGCCCAGCTATTTTTTTTTTGTTGTTGTTGTTTAGCAAGCCCAGGCTGGGTGTGAACCCACCAGCCCCGGTGCATGTGGCCAGCGCCCTAACCACTGAGCTATCGGCACTGAGCCAGAACTTAACTCTTGTTTATATCAATTAGCCTATGTAAAACTGGTTCTCTTTTATGTAATTTTCACTTAAAGTCAGTTTCCAAGAACCTAGTGACATTAACTAAGAAATAATATTATAAATTGTCTTTCATATGTGTATTACTACGCTGCTTTCTCTATTTAATTCTCAATATGTTTATCTCTGCATCCCCAAATAACATGCCTATTAGGATTCAAACAGCTATCTGTATACTTATGTTCACAGCAGCATTATTTACATCAGGCAAAAGGAGAAAGCAACCCAAGTGTCTATCAGTGGATTAAAGAATAAACAAAATATGTTACATGCATACAATAGGATACTATTTAGCCTTTAAAAGGAAGGAAATTCTAGGTCAAGCATGGTGATACATGCCTGTAATCCTAGCACTTAGGAAGGCCTAGGTGGAAGATTACTTGAGGTCAGGAGTCTGAAGCTGAAGTTGAGTTATGATGCCACCACTGCACTCTAGCCCAGGTAACAGAGCGTGATTGGCCTCAAAAAAAAAAAACCGAAAAGAAGGAACTTCTGATAACTTGCTGCAACATGAAGATATTATGGTGTGATATGAAGACATAAGTGAAATAAACATGATTCTACTTATATAAGTTATCTATAGCAGTCCAATTCATACAGACATAAAGCAGAATAGTTGTTACCCAAGACTGAGGAGAAAGAGGATAACTGGGAGTTATTAATAGATATAAAGTTTCCATTTGAGAAAAGGAGGAATTCCATAGACCCATGGTGGTGATGGTTGTATGATATGAATGTATTTAATGCCTCAGAATTGTACATTTTAACTGATTAAGAAGGTAAATTTTATGGTATGTATAAACGTAATAAAAAGTTTAAGTAACATGCTTTTTAAAAGATGTACTACATGTATAGTAATGAGGTGGTATACCTGATACGTTTCAAATGTGATTAGCAGCAAGGTGGAAAAGCAGTACGCTGGTAGAGAGATTTATAACTGGACTGGACCCTACAGGGTGAAGAGAACAGCAGATGTAAAGTCAAGAGCCTTCTGTAAGATTTGACTTTCCTCATCCTATTCTCTCCAAATTGCATTTCTTTTTGTCTTGTTTCAGGGACACTGTGTGCTGCTTCTAACAGACGTTTAGTTTTACTACGTTTGTGGTAATTTGTTCCAGTGACAACAGGAAACTAATATAGTCACAAAAATATGAATGAAAAAAGTATGTTATATATGATTACTTTTCTATAGAATAAAAAAAACAGATGAAACTAATCTATGGTTTTAGAAGTTAGAGAGTAGTTACTTTTGGGGAGGAAGAAGATAATGTTAAAATAGGAACCAGAAAAAAAATAGGGGCAAGAGACAGGGTTTCTGGGGTACTCATATACCCTGGTCTCTTGATCTGAAGGCTGGTGACGGAAAATTAATTGGTGTACTCTTTCAGCGTATATGGTATATGCAGTTTTAAAAACTGGTGCCTTTTGATATTTATCAATCTGGTAATCTGCTGAAAATGACATATATAATATATGCTCAAGGAGATGGAAAAATACAATAACTATTTCTCAAAAACTCTAAAGAGTTTCTCTCTTCAGAAGACTAAAAAAAAGGTAACTAGCAAAATACTGACTTATAAATGCTTAAAAAAAAAGTTAAAATACTGCTTAACTAGCTTTGTTATGCTTCACTCCTAGGACTGTAATTTACAAAAATGCAAGTAAAACCACATTTTCTGAAATAACATTAAACAAAGGAGAAAGGCAGGTATTAGATGTCAAAAGACCAAATGGTTTTGGGGCCTAAGAAACTAGTAAAAAAAAATGGTAACAGAAATCTTTCTATAGGATCATTAAATATAAAAACAATGTATAAAACACATCAGAATTTTATTGCTTGAAGAATACAGCATATGAAATCACAAGAATGTCAAAATGAAAAGTCACTAGGCTTCAAACATATAATACATTATCAGATGCAGTAAAATATTAATTAACCTGAACACTGCATCAAAAGAAAAAGGTGTGGAAAAATATCTAAGTTTACTTAAGAAACAGATATACTTAAAATTGAAAGTATAAGGATGTTACAGTACAAATTAGAAAAGCCAACACTTATTAACTTATTATTTTTCTAGACTAGACTACCTTTGGTACTTAAATTTCTTAAGAAACAATTCTTTCTATCTTGTCTACATGCACTTCATGGATATGACATCCATGAAGTAACTTCAACTTAAAACATTCAGCAAAATTAACCTTTCTGTTACATGGAAATAATAAACATATATTTCCCTTTTTCTAAAACTGCAAAATATGACTCTAAGAAATATAATACTTAGAAAACTTTACTTAATTAGCTCTCCAATTAAAACTGGAATCCTGGCAACCACAATCTATTTTGGGGCCTGGTGAATATAGAAATTTAAATTATTTGGCAATTGACATTAAGAATGTATTTACTTCATACTATCTTAAATGACTTTTCCTTTCTGTTTCCAAAATATAAATACTATGCCATTTCTTCAACACGCTGGAATCCTATAATCACTACTATACTTTATTTACTGGAACCAAATTAAAGCTTCTCTCTTTTAACAAGCAGTTTCAAACTATTTATGTTTCATACAGGGCTGATCAGTTATGACACTTTCTTAAACAAAACCAATCTTTTTTAAAGCTATCACTCAATTATGATGAAGGAGACAATGCTGCCATTTCAAAAGGCCATCTAGTCAAGAAAATGTAAAAGCAATGTGATAAACAAACAATTACCACAAGTTAAATTAAAAAAAAAAAAACCCTCTCTCATAGCAAGCATGCTCATTAACTTTCATTTCTTTTCCCCAGTAAAGATGTAACTTCATGAACTTCAGTTTAATTCATGAATTTCAGTCAAACCAACGGAACCCAAGCAATTGTTTTAAAAGTCCCACCTATATAAGCATGGATGGACTAAGCAAGTAATACTATTAACAATTACTGAACTGGAGTGAAACAGTAAGAATCATGACAGTCCTCAAAACTGGGCAGTCTCTGAAATGCCCATAGTGTAGCTCAAAATGAATTATGCCATAAAACTTTAGTTTTTACCTCTATACAAAACAAAAAAAACATAGCCCACCAGATTTACGTAACTAGTATTGAACATACTCCTTCCTAGTTTTTTAATGTCTTGTTCTGAGATTTTCTAAACAAGTGCATTATCTGAGCCTATATATTGCCTGTATATAGACAAGGGTCAAATATTTTATGACTAAACTCTTTTCTCCAACTTGATCCAAAGTCTACTGATTCACCTAGCACCCTCCCCAAATAATTTAAATTCTCAATTTTTAGTTTAGTTTAAAAAAAAAAACTAAAGAGGAAATGCAAATACGGATTTAGAGCTTCTGTATAAATTTTACTGTATTTTTATAAACTTGAAGTTTTCTGTAACACTGTTTATTGATCAAATAAAGGACTCACTGCTATCTAAAATTTCATAAACACCATTACAAATTCAAAACTGATATTATACTGAACCTTAAGTTTTCAACAGTTCAAAGAGACAGATTTTACATGTATAGCACACAATAGATGAAATTTAACAGCAGACATTCCTAGAATACCAATGGCAAGTCCACCAAGATACATACAAAATTGCAGATAAGCATTTCTTTCACTGTTTGTTGTACAGAGAAAAACATCTATAGAGGAAATAGAAACCCAGCTGGTGAATTTCAGATATCATCATCATCATCTTCATCCTGAGAAGATCCTGCCTGATTGGATGCACTGGCTGAGGCAGCAGCAAGCTGGGCTTGTTGGGCAGCTTGCTGCACTTGAAGCCATTCCTGTTGGGCCAATTCTGCTTGTTGCTGTCTAGCCTAAAGATCCAAAACATAAAAACAAAACAATTTTGTTTCAATCTACAATATATACACTCTGGTTACACTTACACTTTGAGCTGATTACAGACTTCATCATTACCAAAAGAATATTTTCCAACTACTATGTAATTGTCATGTATATGGAAAGCATGAACTTTACAAGAAAATACAATTAGAGATTGTTTTATTGTCAGCCACATAGAGAGCTAAGGATTTTTCCAAATTTGGTTCTCTCTATATAGCTCCTTTTCTTTAAGATCTAGAATAATTTTTAATGGGTCTATCAATTATATGTATTTTCTTTAAACCCTTTTTTTAATTATTAAATCATAGCTGTGTATATTAATGCAATCATGGGGTACAATGTGCTAGTTTTATACACCATTTGAAATATTTTCATCAAACTGGTTAACACAGCCTTCACTCTATTTTTGCGTTAAGACATTTATACTCTACACTTAGTAAATTTAACATGTACCCTTGTAAAATAAACCGTAGGTGTGTTCCCACCAATTATCCTCCCTCCATCCATCCTCCCCCTTCTCCTCCCAACCCTCTCTTCCCTCCTTCTCTTCTTGGGCTATAGTAGGGTTATAGCTCTCAAACTATAAATTGGTTTCATAGTAGGGCTGAGTACACTGGATACTTTTTCTTCCATTCTTGAGATACTCTGCTAAGATGACTATGTTCCAGCTCCACCCATGTAAACATGAAAGAGGTAAAGTCTCCATCTTTTTTAAGGCTGCATAGTATTCCACGGTGTACATATACCACAATTTATTAATCCATTCATGTGTCAATGGGCACTTGGGCTTCTTCTATGACTTAGCAATTATGAATTGGGCTGCAATAAACACTCTGGTACAAATACCTTTGTTATAAAGTGATTTTTGGTCTTTTGGATATATACTAGTAAATGAATTGAAGGACTGAATGGCAGGTCTATTTTTAGGTCCCTAAGTGATCTGCAAACATCTTTCCAAAAGGGATACTTCCTTTTCTGTCACATGAACTGAAGAAGTTGAAATGGTTGACAGAAAAATTAGAATATTCTCTCATTGGTTTCTTTCCCTGTATTTCTCTTCCTCTCACTTCATTTGATTCTTATGTCCCCTCAAATTATGATTTTTATATCAACATTTTTTTTTTTGTTGTTGTTGAGACAGAGCCTCAAGCTGTCCCCCTGGGCAGAGTGCCGTGGCATTACAGCTCACAGCAACCTCCAACTCCTGGGCTCAAGCGAGTCTCCTGCCTCCGCCTCCCAAGTAGCTGGGACCACAGGCGCCCGCCATAACGCCCAGCTATTTTTTGGTTGCAGCCGTCATTGTTGTTTGGCGGGTCCGGGCTGGGGATTCGAACCCGCCACCTTAGGTGTACGTGGCTGGCACCCTAGCCAGCTGAGCTATAGGCGCCGAGCCATCAACATTTTTCAATCTAAAATTCATTTACGTACTTTAAAAGTTCTCTAGTACAGTACCTTTGACTCTTAGGGACAAGGTACTATATACGAATGCCTGATATCTCTTTCTGGGTTTCAATTACAATTCCTACCTTATGTATCAATATTCTCTCTCTGGGTCCCTCTTTCCTTTTCTTTATAAATACACGCATTTGCAAACACACACAAATATATACACCCTTTCCATATAAACCAGTGGCTCTCAACCTTCCTAACTGCCGCGTTGTTACAAATGGAAAAAAGGGGTTGTGACCCGCAGGTTGAGAACCGCTGACATAAAACTAGTGAAAAGATAACCACTTAAAATCCATTCATCTGATATATCCTCTGTAAAAACCATAGGATTTTAGGGGCCAGGATATATATACATATGAAATATATGCAACATGCAAAGCTCCTTCTCAATTTAATTTCACCTGTTAGCAGAAAAACCATAGTAAGGAGGGAAAAACAAACCTGTTCTTGAAAAGGTCTTACAATTTCCCATTGGCCTCTGTCAAAACAATGTTTCTCCCTCTCTGTCTCTGGTTATTCTCAGATTTGTTCTTTAAATCTGGCTCATACCCTCCTTTATGCATAACTAATTCCTAGTCATCATTTGAACTACAAATCAGTCAGTCTTTCTTGATGCTTCTGGCCCACATATTGTGCTCTATTTCAAATGTTATAATTCTCCATGCATTCCTAAATCTATCTGCCTTTTTTTTTTTTTCAGTTTGGCTGGGGCCAGGTTCAAACCCGCAGCCCTTAGTATTTGGGGCCACTGCCCTCCTCACTGAGCCACAGGCACTGCCCCATCTGCTTTGTTTTACAATTATTTTTATATTATTTTTTTTCCACCAGATTTGAGAATACAGGCTATTTTCATATTCATTGTTGTACTCCCAACACACAGTATAAATGAATAGTATTTTGTGAATGGAATTATGGGGAGATAGTGATACTCACCATAACTTCAAACATTAAGATTTTAGCTGTATGATCCTTACTTTTCTTAATCATCTGTCACAACTTTATTATCCAAACATTTCTAGATGAGAATTTTAATCAGGCCATTATTTTACTTAAAAGAAAAAATGATTTTTTTTACACATTAAATACAAATTTCTCAGCCTAGAGTTCAAAAGTCCTCCAAATTAGTGCCTACCCCAACCTCTACATAAAATGTTTCCTAAATATACACCATACTTTCTCATCTTCACTACCTTTACTCATGCTGACATTCATTCTATTTGAAATTTCCTGATTTTCACCTATTGAATTCCACCCTTCTTCCAAGTCAAACTGAAATACTATTCTTCCCTCCTAGTATCAGCCAGGGTGTGATAAGAAGACAGAAGTCATACTAGTTATGGAAACAGAAATAATTTAATATAAAGAATTGTTGCTAGACATATGGCTCACACCCATAATCACAGCACTTTGGGAGGCTGAGATGAGAGGAGTGCTAGAGGCCAGAAGTTTGAGACCAGCATGGGCAATATAGGTAGACAACCCCACGGAACTGAAACTAAGACCTCTGAAGAATGGGCACAAACTGGCTGGTCCTACTATATCTGAGCTTGGAGGAAGGCCTCAAGAGTTGGGATCCATACTCCTGTGAAGGGGAGGGTGCAGGTTGAGGGTGATTCTGTATCAGAGATGATGCAAATTAAATTCAGTCCCCCACTACAGAAAAACTGATGCAGCTGGGATAAATGGAAGCCAATGGCTCTGGAAGCCAAGAGGAAATAAAAGGAGCAAGTCCCTCTTCCTCTAACTTTACAATCTCCCTCTAGAACCCCCTACTGGCAGTAAGGTCTCATAGGTAGTTATCTAGCAGAGTACTAGGTCCAGTCACAAAGCAGAGCATTAAAAAGTGGGTTTGGGGCTAAGCCGATTGCTTAATAACTAACACATTCTTATGCCCCCAAAATCTGATGTGATATCTCTATGCTTGGGATACTTCTCATGAGTAGCTGGTCTCATAGCTATCTTCCTCATCCAAGTAGCCAGCCTCAAAACATAGGGTGTTGATAAAGTTCGTGTGTGATTTAAAATATTAAACTATTTTTAAAATGCACATGAACTTTATGGACAACCAGGATAGTTGTTAGTATACCTGTATTAGTCCTCCCCTACAAGACACTAAATTTCTTAAGAACAAGAATGACATATTCTTCATTACTGTCTATTTGTAGCACTATACATAATGTCTTACATGCAGCAGGGACTCACATGTTAATTGAATTTTGACTTGAAATGTGTTGATCACAGAGCAAGGGGGGACAGCAAAGAAGAAGAAAACTTAATACTTTGGGGGAAAGGCTAACAAAGAAAACGGTCCATGTTATATGTTATTTTTTTAAAAACCTCTAGAAGAGTGAGATTTGAAGGGGAAAAATGTCACTGAATTTGATGATTAGCTGTCCATTTCTGGGGTAGGGCAGAAGTCAAATGTGAGGAAAATGTGGTATACATTTTTAACATGATAACACAGACTTTTTTTTTTTTTTTAAGAGATGGGATCTCACTCTGTTGCCTAGACTGGAAGTCTGGGGTTACTTACAGGCATAACAGTGCACTACAGCCTCAAACTTCTGGCCTTAAGGGATCCTCCCACCTCAGCCTCCAGAGTAGCTAGGACTACAGAAAGGCACCACCATGCCTGGCTGGTACCACAATTATAGCAAAAGACATAAGGGTTTGGGGGGGTATAAGGAGATATATAAGACCCACAAATAATTAAAGGCCAAGAGGAAGAAATAAGATAATAGTAAAAACATGGATAAGACAATCTTTTATAACACACAAAAACTTTTCTTTTGCTTAGGAAATTATAAACCAATGTTCACTCTAATAACTCTTTTCTTCCATTTTTACAAAGAAACATGGAATACAGTTAATTCTAATACACTGGCATATTTACTTTTATGGAAGGAATACTCAAAGAGTTCAGAATCAACTAAGTGTGCTTCACTAAAAACATTTCAAGAATTTATAAAAAAAAATGATGGGGCAAACCAAATGTGTGAATTTAATCAATTTAATAGTACTTGGTGGCCTAATCAACTACGAATAGGTATAATTTTGTAACATGGGGAAAAAATTCAAATAATTTAAGTCTCTACAAAGGTTATACTACAAAGGTGCTTGTTTTTTTTTTTTTTTTTAGAGATAGAGCCTGACTTTGTCACCCTTGGTCTAGAGTGCTGTGGTGTCACAGCTCACAGCAACCTCCAGCTCTTGGGCTTAAGTGATTCTCTTGCCTCAGCCTCCGAAGTAGCTGGGACTACAGGTGCCCGCCACAATGCCCAGCTATTTTTTTTGTTGCAGTTTGGGCAGGGCCAGGTTTGAACCCGCCACCCTCAGTATATGGGGCTGGTGCCCTATTCACTGAGCTACAGGCACCGCCCCAGGTGCTTGATCTTACAGTTTAGTCAAATAGTCTGCAAAGTCATATGCTAGTTATACTTCAAAATGAATTGACTTTAGGTACCATGGCTCCATATCCGCTCTCATACTTTCATCTGAACATAAAAGCACTCCTATGCCTTTACAAATCATTGGTGAGCCAGGGGTAGTAGACACTTAATAGTCCCACCTACTTGAGAGGTTAAGGCAAAAGAGGATCACTTGAGCCCAGGAGTTTGTGGCAGTAGTGTGCTATGATCACACCTGTTAACAGCTGTTAAACTCCAGCCTCAGCAACATGCCAAGACCTTGTTGCTTAAAAAGAGACAATGTCTCTTTAAAAAATTGGAGAATAATATTAAAATGATTCATTTTAAATTTACAATTAACTTTAAGCTTTTGATATTAGCTGCTACCTGGAAATGAGGCTGTCATGATGTATTTAAAATAAAATCTAAAAAAATTAAACCAAATGAAAGTGATAAAAACTAACATACTTATTAGTTTCTTTCATGTTTGGAACTTAAGTACTTAACACCTTAGGGAAGAAGTACTAGGCAACTCCAGTTATTTTACTTCTCTACTGGTTGTCCTCACAATAGCAAAGAAATACTAGGGATCTTCACCCAAATGCCATGGTGAGAAAAGAGATAAAGAGAAATAAAGAAAAGATAATAGGGATAGAGCAGTGAAGACAGATATAGAAGGCAGTCAATATTTCTTTGCATTTTGCTGTGGCTAGGATAATGCATATTCCATTTAAGAGTTCCATAATAAATTTAAGCAGATAAAATGGTAGCTAGAGCATGATATTATAGAAAAATTATAGATTTTAGAGTCAGAAGACATGCAGACTCCAACATTTCCTAAGTAGACGAACCTAACCTATTTTATTTGTGTCAACCTTTCCCAATAAACTACACTCTACAATAATAGAAACTATGTCTCTTTTGTTGACTGGTGTAAGCTTAGCATCTAGCACAATCCCTGGTAAATACTGAAGACTTCAATAAATTTCTGCAGAATAAGTGAGCAATTTCATACAAATGTATGAAAATTGTAAATAAATATAATAAAATTTATGTCAATTACATAAATTTACATATGGAGACAATTTACATATGTCTCCATATGTAAATAAATATAATAAAATTTATATTAGTTCATAAAAACTCTGCAAGGTATGAAAAGTATCCAGCAGAGCTTCTTCCTTTTTTCCATCAAATTAACACATCACCCTCTAGCTGATTCACAATAGCAGTGAAAGATTAATAGTCATTAATTTTTTTTCTTTTCTTCTTTGAGACAGGGTCTTGCTCTGTAGCATGGGGTCTAGAGTACAGTGGTACACTACAGTCTCTAACTCCTGGCCTCAAGTGATCCTCCCATCTAAGCCTCCCAAATAGCTGGGACCATAACCATGTGCCATCACATCCTTCTAGATTTATTTTTAACGCTTTTAAATGGTCATTCTGTAAAATCCAAGTAAAATCTCAACAGTTACTTAAAACTGTTCTTTTTTTTTTTTTAGAGACAGAATCTTACTTTGTCACCCTCGGTAGAGTGCTGTGGCATCACAGCTTACAACAACCTCCAGCTCTAGGGCTTAGGTGATTCTCTTGCCTCAGCCTCCCAAGTAGCTGGGACTATAGGCACCCACCATGATAGCTGGCTATTTTCTTGTTACAGTTTGGCCGGGGCTGGGTTTGAACCCACCACCTTCAGTATATGGGGCCAGCGCCCTACTCACTGAGCCACAGGCGCCACTCTTAAAGTTGTTCTTTTTAGATAACAGATTGCAAATATTTACTTTTATTTTTTTGAGAGACAAGAGTTTCACTATGTCACCCTCAGTAGAGTGCCGTGGCATCACAGCTCACAGCAACCTCAAACTCTTGGGCTCAAGTGATTCTCTTGCCTCAGCCTCCCAGGTAGCCGGGACTACAGGCGCTCACCACAATGCCCGACTACTTTTTTGTTGCAGTTGTCATTGCTGTTTAGCTGACCCGGGCTGGGTTTGAACCCGCCAACCTTGGTGTACATGGCCAGTGCCATACCCACTGAGCTACAGGCACCACCCCAAATATTTACTTTTGCATAAACCAGAGTTGGCTCTAAATATCTAAACATAACCTGGCCAGCACTATGATCAAACAATTTACTACTGAATCCTCAGGGTACGTTATGTTGACTTTGGAATGGACTTCAGAAATCAGTATGATTTCTGTTAGAAAAAAACAGATGAAAATAATTTAAAATGTATTAACTTACTTTTGCAAATAATTCTTGCTGCTGTCTCAGTAATTCTTCTTCAGGAATGCCAAGGTTTTCCAAACGAGAACTGGCCTTTCTTCTTTTTAATGCTACTGTCTTGCATTCCTGTAAGACTTCTTTTACTTCAGTGATGTAAGAACCAAAGCCCAAACTTTCTAGTGCTAGAGAAATGAAAATATGAAAAGATGGTAAAATACACCTTTTCCCCATCTATGGAACATGAAGTTTTTGCGGGTACTTCTTTAGGGGAAAGGAATTTTTTTTGCCCTTTTTAAAAAATAATTTTACCTATTTTAGAGTTGTACAATTATCTGTGCAGCTAAGACAAAATATTTTACCATTTTGCTAAGTATTAGATTGCAAGTCAGTTAAAATTTAAGTAACATTTCCAGGCATATGCATTCACTTTTCCTTTTCTTTCTGACTAACTTTTAAAAGACCAAAGCATTTCCTGTGAGGAAAAAAAAAAAGTCCACTGTAAGAACATGTGGTTTTAGTAAGAAAAACATTTTCCTACACACTCACAGTAAATAAAACATCATGAAGTCAAGTTTTTGCTTTCTCAAAAACACAAACAAAGCAAATATTTGACATATATTTATAAATAACATATTTTATACCTAGGCTGATAACATGTTATCTATTACTACAAAATCATAGATGAAAGAACAGGTTTTTATTTTTTTGTCTAATATACCAATAGGAAGCTATTTTTAGCTTCAAACTACCAAGTTTAAGAAATACTAGTAGAAATAATTCATGAAATTCAGCATTTTTAGCAAGCCACATGTTTCTCTTGAAAATAAATTTGACAGGATGTATTACAGAAACATTTCCAAGTGATGTAGCAGAGCAACTAGAATTTTAAAAAAGCTATAAGAAACATTAATTTAAATGTCTCTTTTTTTCACATTTAGAAAGAAAATTTTACAAAGAAAGCAAGGCACACTCTAAATGCCTTCTGCACCCCAGAAAAGACAAGATATAAAATTTCCTCTGGACCAGGTGTGGTTCCTCACATATGTAATCCCAGCACTTTGGAAGGCTGAGGTAGAAGAATCACTTGACACCAGGAGTTTGAGACCAGCCTAGATAACACAGTGAGACCCTATCTCTATAAAAAAACCTTTAAATACAAGCTGGGCATGGTGGCCCATATCTGTAGGCCTAGCTACTTGAAAGGCTGGGGCAAGTGGATGGCCTGAGCCCAGATATTCAAGGCTGCAGCGAGCTATGACTGTGCTACTACACTCCAGCCTGAGTGACACAACAGAAAAACACAAAAACAAAATTTTAAGTATATATAGTTTCCTATATGATGACTAATACCCTAGAGCATATTTTGTTTGTTGATCCTCAAAAGTAATCTTCTTGCCTTGGCCTCCCAAAGTGCTGGGATTATAGGCATGAGCCACTGTGTCTGGCCCAGAAGGCATATTTTGTATTCTGAACAAATGATGAAACATAGGTGGTGGTAAAAGACATGGTAAATCAATCTTGCTCATCATTTCTTGTAGTCTTTAAACAATTATGACAAACCAGACTGCTTTCAGTTCAGACGGTCTCAAATCTAACTTCAGAGATTTTACCAAATGTACTTTTACAAATCCACATGCATAAGCAACCTGTGGTTTTAAGACATTTTGAACTGATTTACAACTTTATTTCAAATATTATAAGCTTTTTCATCAATCTTTTAAAAAAATAATCTGATGACAAAAGCATAGTACTATACTACTATTTGGATTTTAATTAAGTTAACCCCCATGCCAATTTCCTAAAAATCTCAGAAGGGCTTTATTCTGAATTCTGTATATCTGGCTTAAAGGAGGTTGAGATATAGTGGAAAAATAAGTGAAAATTAAGCAGTCTGTATTTTTAAATTAAATTAACAGACCAATTTTTAAAAAAGTGTCAATGATGGCTTGGGCCTGTAGCTCAGTGGCTAGGGCACCAGCCACCCACAGGGCTGGTGGGTTCAAGCCCAGCCTGCGCCTGCGAAAGAACAACTATTACAGCAACAACAACAAACAAAAAAAAACAGCTGGGCATTGTGGCGGGCACCTGTAGTCCTGGCTGTTTGGGAGGCTGAGGCAAGAGAATCGCTTAAGCTTAAGAGTTTGAGGTTGCTGTGACCTGTGAGGTCACAGCACTCCACCAAAGGCAACATAGTGACACTCTTTCTCAAAAAAAAAAAAAAAAAAAGTATCAATGACCGAAGCCAAAGTTTTTGTATTATCTGTTCTCTTTTTTAAAGGCACAGTTATCTCAATGAGATTGGTTAGAGACAATACTAAAGAAAACCAAGTGAATGGTTTATGGTTTCCATATTCTCAAGTCTGGTCTCCTTAGTCCTACACTAAGGTTCTCTATGATCTAGTCTGTCAGAACTTAGCTACTATACTCAGCTAGTTTTTCTATTTTTAGTAGAGATGGGGTCTCTCTCTTGCTCAGGGTGGTCTTAAACTCATGAGCTCAAGCAATCCATCTGCCTCAGCCTCCCAAAGTGATAGAATTACAGTAACCCACCACACCTGGCCCCAGTTTTATTTCTGACATTAAATTCCTGCCTACTCCTGTTAAATCTGACTGCTCAATGTTTCCCAACAGGGAACAGTTTCATGCTGACACCAATGGTACTAATCAAACCTACCTTCAAATTAAGTTTGCCTGATCTTCCCAGACAGATACAGATCTCCCTTTTGAGATCAAACAGACCTAGAAATGAAACTTTATTGACATAGTATTTGTATAACCTTGGATCTGTTGCTTAGCATCTCTAAGCTTCAACATTTCCACCTATATAGTGGTTAAACATGCAGGCCCAAAAGCCAAACAGCCAGGGATTGACTTCCAGCTCTGCCTCCTATTAGCTGCGTGACCCTACATCAGTTCCTTTATCTATGTGCTTCAGTTTTCTCATTTTTTAAAAAGAATAACAACAATATCTGCACCTCACTGGATCAGGGTGTTGTCAAGAATAACTCTATTAATATAAATAAAGAGCTTAGAATAGAGGTTGGCCCACAGAGGGAGTGAAATAAAATATGTGCTATTATACAGTGTATTATTAATTTTAGGGTTGTAGGAATCAACAAGTAATTAATACAAGGCATTTAACACAGTGTCTAACACATAACATTTAACCAACTCAGGCTATGTATTACTCATCTTTATTTTTTCTCTTGTATTTAAAAGACTAACCTAATAAGGGTCCAGAACCTTAATAAATGTACAGCTATACGTAATTACATCCAAATTCAGGTTGGGCAAATATATTCTTAATATAAAATACTGAATTAATAAAATTAACAAACCAACACAATGGAGAGACAATCCTTAATGTCACGAATTAGTAAACTGGACATTAAAAAAATTTAATCCAAACTACCTTTATGCAGAGCTTGAGTTAAAAAATAAAAATTACAGAAGAACCTTAATAGTTGACCGCCTCTCTACCTTGATCATCTCTGTAAGCTGACCTAATTTTCATAGACTGGACATGCACCACATGTATGTATCAGGACAGTAGGTCTAGCTGCTTATGTTGGCCATTTCCATATATTGACCAGGTACAGTCCCTTAAGTGGTCAACTTACAGAGATTCTACCGTGTATGTACATAACTCACCTTTAAGAACATTTAAAGCTAAGAACACTGTTTTAAAAAAATTTGCAAGTAGGTCCAAGGTTAATATTTGTTATTCAAAGAGTTGTTACATGTAAATACTACATTCTCAATAAAATAGTTCAAAAAGGAGCAGTCACAAATTTAATTCCAAAAATTACACTGACTTTAATCTAAATTTTAAACAAATTTTGCCTATTATATCAACAACTGGACATGGTATATTCTAAAGAGGGAGATAATTTTCTATCACTTGTTACCATGTAGTAGTAATCATTTCCATTTTACACAAAGGAGAATATTAAAAGATAAGGGAAATAGCTCCTAAGCAAGGCTACCATTTATAGTTGTTCAGGTAACACACAGTACTAGACTATCCACACTATAATCCCAAATTTGCATGTTTACTATGACTTTTCTTCTGGTAGATAGTAGTAATGGTGTTTTGTTTTGAGAGAGGGCCTCACTGTCATCCCAGCTAAAGTACAGTAGTGTCCATAATAGCTCACAGCAACCTCAAACTTCTGGGCTTAAGAGATCATCCTGCATCAGCCTGGAGTAGATGGGACTACAGGTATGTGTCATCACACTAGGCTTTTTCTATTTTTTTTATTCAAGCTAGTCTCCTGACCTCAAGCAAAAATCCTGCATCTGGCCCCCAAGAACCAAGATTACAAGTGTGAGTCACTATACCTAGCAGGTAGTAATAGTTTTTAAGGAAGTTGTGCCTTTTTCTAATTTGTACCAAGAGACCATATGGACTATTGATGGCCCTGCCTCTAAAGATCTCATCAGAGTTAAAGCCGAAAAAGAAAAATGTATTTTAAAAAAATCTGTGGGTAAAACCAACACACTTCACTGTCTGCTATCCTCTGCCAGGTATCTTAAAACTATACCCAGACTGAGTATGGAGGCTCATCCTAGCACTCTGAGGGAGGCTGAAGTGGGTGGATCACTTGCGCTCAGGAGTTCAAGATCAGCCTGAATAAGAGCAAGACCTCATCTCTACTAAAAATAGAAAAACTTGCCAGGCACTGTGGCAGGCACCTATACAGTCCCAGCTTCTTGGAGGCTGAGGCAAGAGGATCTCTTGAGCCCAGGAGTTTGAGGTTGCTGTGACACCAGGGCACTCTGCCCAGGGCAACTGAGTGAGACTATCTCAAACAACAACAACAAAACTATAACTAGTAAAGTTCATTGTGTATATCAGGGAGAAAAAATACTTAGCATATTTTTCAACTTAAAAGACACATATTAACAAGACCGCTATGGGGGGGGGGGCAGAAACTTCCCCTAAGCAACAATAATCTTCATATAGGCTTATTTTACAAAATGACATGCTCCTAAAAAGTTTTATTGTAACGTGAATTTATGTGAATCACTTTTATTTCAACTGTATAAAGCATGCTTTTCATTCAAAAAATTATATAAAATGCCCACATAAAATGCTATAATAATCAGCATTCTCTAAGTTCTCTATGTTCTTTTGTCTGTGGGGAGGGAAGAAACTGGAATACATACTTCACTTAAAATATATTAAGAGGATGTGGCTCATTAGCCTGGCAAAGGTTTCTGAAGACCCTTAAGAACCATGTCCTCCATGGTATCACTACTGCTGAGAATCTTGGAAAATGATGAGAGATTAACCTCAGAGAAGAAACTAAGTATCATTCATCTTTACATTCTTAGCAGCATCTAATACAATGCCAAGTAGTTAGCAGTTTTCAATAAGTAATCATTGGATAGCAGAAAGAAAACAAAAACAAAAATTATACCAATTTTAAGAAAATAATAAAATCCTAACTTGAAAAGCACCTTATTATGTGACAAACTGTGCAATGCAAATTACATGTGTCCCTTTAGAAAAAAATACTCGTATGATTATTCAGCCAATAATATGTTATTCTCATTCATTCCCATGATCATAACTTCTCTAAAATACTCAGATTCTTCGATTTCAAAATTACTTCATGTCCACTTTCCAAAACAAACTGTGGTTTAGGATTCAAAGCAAAGCTACTCAAAGTGTGATCTATGGACATGTCCCATAACTGCTAATAAAGGCTGCAATAAGTATGGAAACTCAAAGTAAGCATTTGAGAACCTTCATAGCAACTTAACAGAGTAATTTTATGTATAATGAATCTAATAATAAAAAAGAGTGTTCATCTTTTTTTCATTTCATTTTTCTAATGATTAATTTTTATGGCATTTTACAGAGGGTATCAACGTGAGAAGGACTAGAATAAAAAAATGTCCTTCAACACAGCTTTGAGTAACTCAATGGCTGAAGAAGAAATTCTCAGAGATCTTTTTAAACTTTTAGTTACTATTTTCATAAATGTGAGTGGAAATGTAGTAAGAGACTGAAATGCAGAAGAAAATAATATTTAAAATATTTTTCTTTATATTTTACCTTTGCAAATGGTATCATGATATAAACAAAACAGACCATTAACTTTAAATTTAAATCACTACTACAAAATTTTTAAAAATTATTATTTATTTATTGTAGCTTATGTCATGTAAGGTTCTCAACTCCTGACTTGATTCTTTCAATAATTTCCAGTTACACCTGAAATCAAGAATTATGTATACATAAATGGGGAAATCTTGGTTAACACATTTGCCTAAGGCCAAGGAATTTCCAGGTGATTCTCAATGTCAATTCTCTCCATAATGCAACAAAACATGTTAGACCTCATTCAAGAATGTGTTCACAAAACCAGCAGTAAAATAAAAAGAACACCTTTTATAGTCTGAACTCCCTCTATTCATTTATCTGTGACCTGCAATACCAAGTTTACTTTCTTAAATTTAAAATAAGCAACACAGAAAAAAGTTTTCTTTTCATCTAATTTATGGTATTTCACAGACTTACTGATGATAAAATCATTTCAATATTAATCTGCATTTTACAGAGCTGCTTGAGAATGCTTAATTTGCTCTGACAAGAAAAAGCAAGGTAGCAACTGAAATGAAATGCCCTGAAGCAAGACTAGTTCATTAACTGATTACTAAACCCCAAACTGCAGTACGTGAGACTCATAATACTTTAAAATGTACATTATTATTCCACTTACATATATCTTACATTTCTAATCAATGTTGAAGAATAGTATAAAAATATGTATCTATCATGATTAGTCTGTTAGAACCCACTTTAAACAGCTAAAACATACACCTTAAGCATTTCTTATAAAAAAAATTTAACCTCCTTAAACAAAGCTTCTTTGAGATAATTAAGCAAGCTTGCATAAATGTATAAAATCTGATCCCCCAATAGGGAAGAAATCTTGGGCAAAAAATGCCAATTCTTATTCACTTAACAACAGTAATCTTACAAGGAAAAAAGGTAAATTTCTAAGACTGTAACAGTTTAAAACATGATTTTTTAAAATTAACGAATTATCCTTATTACACAAAGAAAATGCTCTTTCACTGTAACTTTCTGACTAATAAGTTAAACTGAATTTAGCATATCCCAAAGTTGAACTATTTAGCACACTGCCTGCTACAGCTGCACTTCTATCCTATCATGTCAATCAGAAATCTAAATATATCCTAGAAAAGAATAAACTCTCCCCAAGAAGGCAGACTGTAGTATGTTATTAGATTTTTGGAACAATCCCCACTTGTGTGGAGTAAACAAATGTTTTAGGCAGATCCTGTTGAAATCTTTTGCAATTTTCATTAGAAAGGCAAATGTTGACAAAAGGTTCTTTTTCCTTTTTATGAGTTGTATAAGGAAATTATAGCTATCTCTGGTGGATAATCTTGTAAGACTTATGACAGCAATCACACACACATACAATGTAAAAATAAAAACACAAGAGGAAAAAATAGACAACTTGGCTTTCATTTTACTACTATTCAGTATGCCAAATAAGTAGAAAAAAAGTACCAGCTTTAAGAATCCTTGGGATTCTTAAATGGCAAGTGAAATGGCAAGTATATTTTATATTTTTTTATTTTTTATTGAATTATAGCTGTGTACATTACTAATACTCTCATGGGGTACAGTGTGTTGTTTCTATATACAATTTGAAATACTTTTCATCCAATTGGTTATTTAAATCCACCTTAAGAACATCATAAAAGATACAAAATGTATCTTTTAATCCTTCTGTCAATATTGAAAGTAAAATACTGGACTTGGTCAGTAAGAGCAAATGTGTTCTCTACTTTAGAATAAGAAGACAAGGGTGGCGCCTGCAACTCAGTGGGTAGGGCACTGGCCCCAAGTACCGAGGGTAGTGGGTTCAAACTCGGCCCCAGCCAAAACTGCAACAAAAAAATAACCGAGTTAAAACCGCCAAAGGAAACATAACCAGTAGATATGTCTTCCCTCTCTGAAACCCTAATACAGTAACCCAAATCCCTATTACGGGACTAAATCCTTTCAAAGATAACAGAAATTGTTGAAACTTTCAAAAAGTGCTGTTCAACGAAAGCTTAAGTGTATACATCCAAATGGAAATAGCAGTTAAGAAAGGACAGAGAAACGTTCTTTTTTTTTTTTTTAAGTGTGGGATATAACCTTTCAACCCAACCTTTTAAAACTTATCTCCATAGAACAAAGCAAACGACATAAAAGCAAAAAAAAAAAAAAAAAAGAAGACGAAGAAGAAATTAAGGAACACTCCTCTATAGATTAGAACTGAAGTGCTTTGGTAACCTCTTGATAAAAGTACCATTATCAAACCATTTTTAAAGCAGAAAATAAGCTCTTTAACACCAATAAACTTGACAAGGTCGAACACGTTCACGTTAAGAATTTGTTAATTTGTGTGTTCAGAAAATAAATCTTTTTTCTACACTGGATAAAAGATCAGGTGGGGAAGGAGTGCTGTCTCCACCCATTCTTGAAGTTCCTCCGTCTGGATTTTAACTTTCAAGGGAGAACACTTCTGGGTTCTGTTCTCAGTTGTCATTATCTAAGTTGAACTTCAGGCAGGCAATTCTTGCTGAGCTTACCTGGCTGTAAATTGAGACTACTATTATTAACACTTTCTGTTTTGGGGATGTCCGCTGTCCTAAATGTCTGCACTCCTTACTTTTATTCACTGGACCAGAAATACCCAAGAACGCTACACAAGAGATTTTTTTTAAGGCACCGGCTGCCTTTGTGTTCGTGTGGCTTTTTCATTAACAGTACTGACCAGTGAAAAGGAAAGAAGGCTACAAGAACGAGCCACACGACCAGCAGACTGTCCCCCTGGACCCTGATTTAAACCAAATCCTACCCGTCTTACCTTGTATGACATGCTCTGGTGAAATGGTCTTCTTTTCCGACTTGTTGCAAATCTCATTGGCTTCGGAAGATATAAGGTGAATGAATTCAGTGCAGCAGTTCACCACCAGCTCTCGGGCATCATTGGCCACTCGGACATTGGGGAGAGTCTCTTTAATCATTTTATTGATAGCAGCTCTGGGGATAGTGAGATCATCATCGTTGCCAGACGAGGAAGCCATAATACCTTCCTGCCTCTCGTGGCCCAACTTTTAAAAGCTCCCAGGCTCTGGTCCACTAGTCCACGGAGATTTCTCACAAGGCTGCCCCAGGAGAGTGACGGGGGGGGGGGGGG